CCGCTCCCCGGTCGGGGCGGGTCCTCGCGGGTATCGGGTTTGTCGGGTTTTTTTGCCATCCCTAGTTTTTTACCACAGTTAGACTGTTATAGTCAATATTCTACAAGAAATTTACTCTATTTATGACTGCAATATGCTGTGGCATTACGAATCTTTGCAACAAATCATAAACCTTAGCAAGACCATGATAAATACTTTTTTGTGATGGCCCATGTGTCATAGCAAAACCCAAGGGGAATGGAAGGGGGCAGGTCGAAGCCCAAGCCTGCCCCAGACCCACTTCAGTTTTTTTTTCCTTTTTATCCCCTCTGGCACAGCCCTTGGCAAAATCCTTTGTTATGCCATTTAACATCAGGGACAAAAGCCATCACTAGGCCTTGACAAATAGTATTTTTGATTTCTCTACCTTTTGTAATAGAGGAAATTACAGAAAAGCGAGCCTTTAATTTTTCAAATTCAAAAATCAGATCTTAAGTTTATTTAATAAAAAATCAGGTATTAATTGAATTTATAATTAAAACTCTAATTTATTTTCCCTCGTCTCACTCCTCTCTCTCTAAATACACCGGACTTCAAATATTTTTCCCATTCTCTCTCACCTTCCTGTCGCCCTCCGCCACCTCTTTAGACCACGAACTCCTTACCTTTCTATTGTCGCCGCCCGCCATCTTTACCCAGGCCCATCATCACCGTTAATCCATATCGCCGACCTGAGCTTCAATCGCAATGGTGAAATTGTGCGCGACGCGGCAGAAGCTTCAATCACTTATCACCTTTCTACCGTCGCCATCCGTCGTCATTGTCCAACCCCATAACCACACTCAATCCATTTTACCCCAGAAGGAGGGCAAATCACCACGAGTTGCGACATAGATCCACCCACTAGGTGACTCTTCGCAGTCGAAGCGCCGCGATGTTACGTTGCTGTGCTGACGGTTTTTTGTGTGGTGGTGGTATTTTGTGTGGTGGTGGATCTGACGTTTTTGTGACGGTGGCTGTGGCTGTGGTGGTGGATCTGGCAGTTGGGGTGGTGGTTTTGTAGTGAAATTGGTGGTTGTGGAGGTGAGGAGGAGGTGGTGGTGGTGGTGTGATGTTTTAATGTTACTGGGTTTTTTTTTTTTTTTTAATTGTAGCTGAACTCTATTATTTTGTGGTGTTTTGTGTGGAGGTAGTCTTGTAGTGAAATTGGTGGTGAGGTGGTGGTGGTGAGGTGGTGGAGAGTACGGTGTTCCACTAGTTGTCGTGAGTTGGTGGTGGTTTTGGAAACGGTGTTTTGATGGTAGTGGTGGTGGTTCTAGCACATCGGAGGCGGTGGTGCTATCGAAGGTCGCAAATGTTGGTGGTGGTGAATAGATAGAGATTACAGTGTTCCTAGTTGTCGTGAGGTCGTGGTGGTTCTGGCGACGTGGTTTGGTGTGTCGAAGGTGGTGGTGCCGTCGGAGGACACAAGTGTTGGTGGTGGTCACCAATTATTTGGTCGACTGTGACCATTAAATTAGTTAATTTGTGATTTGTGACCTGTGATCTATTAATTTTACGTGACCATGAATTGTATAATTGTGATTTTAATATATCTAATTAATAAAATATATTAATTAATTAATAAATATCTAATTTTTGCAATTTTTAAACTTAAGGCCTGAAAATTGATTTTGTGATAGTTAAAACCTGATCCATGAATTCTTCCCTTTGTAATAATCAAGTGCCGTGACAAATACTGAATTTTCTTGTAATGGCTCGTGCAAAATGACATTGTGCATACCACCCATGAGCTTATATCCAGACGAGCATGTCTTTGTTAGAACCCGACAAACTCCACATTGATATGATATTGTTCGCTTTGGGCCTGGGCCTCAGGAATTTACTTTTGAATATTACCCAAAAGGCCTTGTATCAATAAAGTATTGTCATACACTTATAAATTGATAATATTTTCCATATCTAGCCGATGTAAGATTTCTTTTACTCCCAACAATCCTCCCCTCAAATGAAAGACCACATTATTGTAGCCTCCCCTCAAACGATAATTCATCATTTAATCATTTTGTACCTATTGTCGCCGCCCCCAACCAAATGGAACCCACCGCCTAACCACCATATTTTTATGTCAGGAAGACTTTCGACATAAGGCACCTCAAACGCTAATAATTTATAGCCAGACGCAAGGCTAATTAGGGGGGACCTCCAACACGCTTTCCGCTACGTTCCTCCGACTAAGTTTTTGGGTCCTGGGTTCTGATACCACTGTTAGGACCCGCCAACCCCACAATGGTATGATATTGTTCGCTTTGGGCCTGGAACTTCACCAAGATGAAGGCGAGGACAGAATGTTCTGGTCTCTTGAAAGAAATGGCTGCTTTAGTGTGCGTAGTTGCTACAGAATGATCTACAATCATATTGGACAACAACTAGCAGGCACATCAAAGGGATCAACTGACAAACTATTGTGGAAACATTTGTGGAAGATGAAAGTGCCGCCTAAAGTAAAAGTTTTTGCGTTGAGAGCATGCAAAGATAGGCTCCCCACTGCTCTGAATTTGGAGAAAAAACAAATCGTAAGGCAGAGTACTTGTAGCCTTTGTAATTCAGAAACTGAGGACATGAATCATGCTGTGATACATTGTAACATGCTCAAAGGGGTTTGGACTACTTTCTTCCCTGAACTGGTCAGAATTAATTGCAGGTCAATTAAGGAAAAGGCACTTGATTTATATGTGAGAAAAGAAGTTTCAAAGCTGGATACCTTCTTCATGCTGACTTGGAGTTTTTGGTTCAGAGGGAATAAATATGTGAACGAGCATATTTGGCTGGATCCAAGAAAGAATGCGGATACTGCGTTGGGTATGTTAGAAAGTTACAGTAAAGCAAGGAAAACAAATAACTCTCAGATCCGAAAACATTTTAAATGGAAACCTCCAGATTTCAATTTTTTGAAATTAAATGTGGATGGGGCAACATTTAAAGAACTGGATAAAGCGGGAATTGGGGCTGTATTAAGAGATCATTCTGGACAGGTGATTATGGCGATGTCCAAAATTGAAAATAGTGTTGAAGAGAGTGAAGTGATTGAACTGTTGGCCATTTTTAGAGGCATGCAGTTTTGTGCCAACATGGGAATCCATAACCTTACGGTTGAAAGTGATAGTAAGCTGGTCATTGAAGCACTTCAAACTGATAGCATGCTCAATTCTTCTTTAGGAGTGTTGTACCATGAAGGGAAACGTCTAGCCACACAGTTTGTTAATTGTAAATATTCACATACCTTCAAGGAATGTAATATGGTGGCTCATAAGCTTGCTAGGTATGCAAAATTGGTTGATGATGTTAATATTTGGTTGGATAGTATTCCAGACTATGTTTATCAAGCTAATTGGCTTGATATCCGTCTGTAATCGTTTATCCTGGTTTTTATGAAAGTTCTTTTCATATTTTATCAAGCTAATTGGCTTGATATCCGTCTGTAATCGTTTATCCTGGGTTTATGAAAGTTCTTTTCATATCAAAAAAAAAAAAAAAAATGGTTACATTCATACCATGTTTCTTATAAATCCTATCACTTTTAAACTGTAGTAAGGATGGTCCTTAACCTTTATTTATTATCACGTTTAAATCCTTGACCATTTTTTCCATCACATTATTATTATTAATCTTCCATTAGCTAACACATCTTTTTCCTTTTTTTCATTATTTCCAATATATACATTTTTCGTATAAATGGAGATGATTTATAATTAGATAATTAATATCTATACGTTAAAAATTTTTTATGTGTGCATTCAAATAAAATTTTATATTAATGCTTCAACTCTATTAATGCTTTCTCACGTACTCAATTTCAAATAATGTGAATACAAAAATCAAATCAGGACCGTTGACATATCCCTCAAATATATCTTAAAAGTCTTGATTGCATCTCTATCGTTTATTTTATTCTCTAGTATTCACATTTTAATTGTATATGCAAGAAACACGTGACATAAAATTATTTCTTAAAGCAAGTCAAAATTTTATTTCGTCTTGAAAGCTGTAAGTAAATGTCTATTTCACACGTCACGATCATAGAGATTAAAAATTAATCAAATATATTTTTAATCAATAATAAGATGAAAAACATGACAGAATTTCGTATCACATACACTCAACTAATGTTTGTAAAGTGTCCTTGTTATTTTCAACAAAAATGAAAACTTCCTTGTTTTTCGCACACATGAATTGACTCATACCCGAATTTCGTGGGCAATTACGCTTCTTCTTCTTCTTTTTTTTTTTTTTGGTTCATTTACTTATATATGAAGCAAGGTTGTAGCGTTGTAGGATAAAATCTTTTGCCTAACAAGTTTAAAATGATAAAGGAGAGAGATTTATTTATTTATTTACTTTTTTTTTTATGCAATCTCTCAATCTTAATCGAGTGCACAAGGTCTGACATCATTGGATATAGCTTGGTCGACCTCGAACGCCGTACAAGGGGGCTGATTTAGTACGATTCGACCACAAGATCCGATCAAGAATTTATAAACGGTTTATAAATATGACTAAAATATAGATTAAATCAGAGGGAGAATCGATGAAAATATACAGCCATTAGAGAAACACTTCCAACGCCCCCAATGATGAAAGATGTATTGTTTATAAACAAGAGAAATGTTATGAACATTGTTCCAATGTTCAAATTTCATGACGAAATAAATTCGTATAGAAAGATAACTAAAAAATATTGTATGAAAAAATTATTTTTAAAAAAACTTATAAATAAATACAAAGAATTATTTACAACGATACTTCCAATGAATTTCGTCCAACTTTCCTATGTACAGTACCTCTTCCAAGATCAGATCAAATTTCACCCAAAACCAGCCGTCTTATCTTGACCCATTAACAAACCTGAATTCGTCATCCACAATAACGGCGTCAGCGTCCCACCACCTATCTCCGTCACATTCCCTCACATTCTCCACCGGCGCTGTCACATTTCTCACGTCGCCAACGGTTAAAATTCCGTTGATGTCATCTCGTACGTACACTTTCTCAACCCCGCCGCTGGACACAGTCATCACCCCCGCCACATCTTCCGCCGGTAAACACCATTCGGCTGATATAGCTGGAACCCGACGCCTCATTCTGATATCGTAACCACCCAAAACGACTCCGGCGCCGTTCTCATTACGCTTTGCTGTAAAAACCGTCTTCGGAGACTCCACCAACGGTGTAGAATCATTATCATTATCTTCTTCGAAACAGTCGAAACCTAAACCCAAACTATCCCATAGCTTTACAACACTTTTGCTGGAGGTCAACTTCGACCACCCAAATCTCTCACCGCCACTCCGCAGCCGCCTCATGTGTCTCGATATACTATTTTGCCATTGGAGTTTCAAATAGAAACTAGATCCCTTGACACGAAAATCTTCATCAACATCTTGTTGATCTTCTTCATCCTCTTCTGAAGAAACAGAAGAGCAGTCATCATCATCGCTAAATTCAACTTCATCCCTTTGAACAAAAGCTTGTGAAGAAGGCTCGACTGCGTGTAAAGGAATAGATATTATCTTGCCTCTCCTAATTATGCACACGAAAGTCGCTGAAACTGCAAGAATTAGAGCACCCCACTTCCAGAAACTGTAAAAGAAATGAGAAATCAAAGATGGGTCTTGCAAGCATTTCATTCCTGCCTCAAAATCACCGATTACATTCATTTGTGGAATTTCCATGTTGAATGATCTTTATCTCAAAGAATTGAGATTATATGCGTGTTATATAGAATATGTCCGCGTTTCGCGTGTGAGATTGATAGAAAGAATTGTAAGATAAGTCTATTGAGGAGGTGAAGGGGTTGAAGAATAAATATAGGGAGTTTTGTGTTGGTCGTTGCTGACGGGGAAGGAACTGTTGGATAAAGATAGGATTGCAACGAATCGAGTCGAACCGAGCCACAAGCTGAAATTTGAAGCTCGGGCTTGGCTCTAGCAAAATGAGTTGGGGTTTTTTTTGGGCTCGAGCTCAGCAAAAGCTGGGGGAAAAAATTTAAGGCTCGGCAGGGGCTTTTGCTCGAGCCTCAAACGGGCCGGGTCGAGTTTTGCTCGAGCCTTAATGGTCGGGATGATTTTTTAATTTTTTTTTTTATATATAATATGTGCTGCCTTTAAATAGTAGCGGCCACTTGCCCACATTCCATTTCAAAAAGAAAAAAAAATTTCATTTTTACACGAGCCACATGGGGCCTACGAGCCGGCTCGATTGTGCCTGGATCCCCAAAATTGGGGCTGGCCCGAGCTTCGGCTCGATCTATCGAACTTCGGGTCGAACCAGCTCGAGATTTTTCCAGGCTGAGCCATGAGCGGTCCGAATCGACGAGCCAAATTGACATTCCTAGATAAAGATCATTGGATGGAAAACAACTATCACAATATAATCGTGAATACATTGACCACCATTCTCTTAAAACTATTTTTTTCTTGTACTCATTTTAGATTACACATTCTAATAATAAAATATTTTTCAAATATGTTTTTCTACCTTTCAAATATACATTCTCCAACTCTTTACTATTTCAAAATTTATTCTTTCCAAGAAATGACCCGAGGGCTAGATGTAGAAGACTCACATTGGTCAAAGAGTTTTTGTGTAGGTCATTGCTGACGGGGAGGGGGGAATTTTGTGCTTTTACCATAGTTTTTTAATTTTATTTTCTAGATTAACTTTTGTATTTATCTTTGTAGAATAAGTCAATAGTTGTTAGATGTGTATGCCACGCCATATTCGATTAGTAGTTTATGTACACATCCAAGGTTATATTCAGGAAAATGCCACTTTTACAATAGCACAAGTGGCATTTTTTGCACATACATCTCCAATTTTTTTGTCACATTTTTATTTTTAACTATCAATTAATTAACACAATCGTCCCTGGTAATGATTTGTGTTCAAATATTAAGTTAACGTGGAGAAAATAGTTAGTCAAATTTACGTATATGCTATTTGTCTTGCTTATATAAAAATATGAAAACAAAATAGGTCTTTTTACTCTATTCTAATGATTTTTTTGACCGTGATTAGGAACGAATGTAATAATTAAAATGCGATGAAAATAGTTAATAAATAAAGTGCAAAAAATGTGACGATGGGTAGAGTGATTTTGGTTTTGGGTAGGGGTGGGGGTTGGATTGGGGATGGAGTAGTTGCGGAAGATGATGGTTTTTTACTTTTTATTTAATTATTTTAGTTGTTTTCCATACGGAAAGAGATAAAGTTACTATTTTACCCTTATAGAAACAATTAAGGCCCCGTTCGGAAGGGATTAAAATCCAATTAAAATTGAAAATATGGCCGTTATTGGGTCCCACTCGTCTAATAAAAGTCAACAATAACGGCTATATTTTCAATTTTAATCTGATTTTAATCCCTCCCAAACAAAAAGTGGACGATTTCCTTCCAGATGGACCTCGGCTGCATTTTTATAAAATGTTAGGGACTTTAATTGGTACAAAATGAAAGTTAATGTAAAGTCTGCAAAAATTGAAA